TTTTTTAATTATTAATTTAACCTTCTAAAACCTATTCATTACAGAAGTCAATAATAAAAAGAGTTATTCAAAGTTACTGCTAATAGTTTTAATATACAGATATTTTTACAAACTCTGACCTGTCGGCTAAGCGGATGAGTAATCGAAGTTCATATCGGAAAAATTTAAATGTACGTGAAATTATGTCTTTGAAGTGTTGGCAACATCCCGACTCGCGTCTGGCCGGAAAACAGAATATCCTATATTGAATTTATACAGATGCAACATTAAAACGTACCGTAGAAATGTAAATACTCGTATGACCCCAGTTATATTTGTCAGACGAGATAAGTTATCGACTTGATAGAATAATTTGTATTACAATTTTGACTAATTGAACATGTCGAATGCAAATTATTAAAAGCGTATGATACGTCAGGGTTACGAGATCATTTGATAAACATCAATCATTCCGAAAATATTCATATCATCATTCATATATAATATATACGCGATATAAACTATAATAATATCTTTTTCTTAGCTATTTTATTAAAGCTTTTAAAAGAAATGTAAATAATTATGTGTAGGTTTATTCCCTTCATTTTTTTCTTTATTTGCTTACTGCGGTCATTTCAATCTTGCACGCTTAAAGTTTTATTGCGTCATGAAAAGTGACAGTGAAACTTTTAGACAAGGAAGTTTCCCGCAGCTTTCGTCTCGGCGCACCGTCTAGACAACGAAAGCGTCGGTTTTTTCTCTTTTCTCGGTAATTCGGCTTTTGGCACGGCTCGTTAAGATATTTTGGCAAACGACAGCGACTTTTATTTGATCCGGAAAATGAATGAAAGTTGAAGGGAAAAGATATTTATGTGTATACATATCCATGGTGCTAACGTCAGTATGACAAATCAAAAGTACATGTAATGTAGTAAAATTATATACGATACCTATATGTTAATAAAATTAGTGTGTGTGTGTGTGAATGTAATACAAAAAATATATTTATTACACTGGATACATTTGCATTTCAGAAAACAAAAAAACAATTTTAAAAATTTTTCACTGTCCGCCTGTCCGCAAGGTCACGTTTAGACGAAAAAATAGCTATTGCATGCGAGCATATTATGTAATGTTTATTTTGTCAAAGTATTTAATTTACATTTAAGTATTATTGATAGCTGTCGCCAGCGAATCCGTTCGCGCTGAATCAAAACAAAATTATTAAATAACCTATGTGTTTTTCCAGACTATGCTCTACATCTATGCTAAATTTCATTAAAATTCGTTGAGCCATTTTAGAGATACCTTATAACTAACACCCATTTATCCAATTGAACGTTCGCATTTATAATATTAGTAAGAGCAAGATATAATGTAAGAGCGTCGGTGGCTCAGGAGTCAAGCACGTGACTTGCAATCTGCAGGTCCTGGGTTCGATTCTCGCTATGTACCAATGTGTTTTTCGATTTCCGATTTACATATATACATTAATCCGATGATCTTACGGTGAAGGAAAACATTGTGATGCAAACCACATATTTGAGAAGAAAATTCAAAGATATGTGTGAAGTCAACCAACCCGCACATGGCCAGCGTGGTTGACTATGGCCTAATCACCCTTAACTTAGGGTAGGCCCCGAGCCCCTCGGGGGGACGTATAGTGAGCTGATAGTGAAGGACGATGATATAATAATTAATATTAGTAATATTAAAGATAAAATAAAATACTTATTGATACAAGAATCAATTCCAAATCCATTGCAAAATGTAGAGTAGGTATTACTGACAAATAGATTAGAAATGGCATTGTTTAGCAATGCAAATGGAAAATTGTGAAAATTAGCAAAGAAAATAAAACAAAATACATAAAAATATAAAAGTTATAAAATTTCCATATCTTTTCAGTACAACTGTAATAATTGATAAGTTTCGTTTAATTAGTCCAATGTTTAGATCAAACGATGGTAGATTTTAGATTAGATATAACATTTATAGGAAGTGTTGATTATTTTGTATTGTTAATTCACACTGTATAATAAATAGGGTCGGTTGTTGAACAGTGAACGACCACCATATTGAAAAAAACTGCGAAGTTGCCGACCGATCGTGTTAAAACTTATCTCGTAGGTACCCTTCTCCTCTCCCGTTGTTAGCTGGTGGCCGCGGCTTGAGCGAACCTATTTTTTACTCATTTAATCATTTTCAAATATATTTTAATAAACATTGTTGATCTGGTATATTCTTCATGTCCTTCCCAAGATGGCAACATGAAGAATATCATAAGTCCATTTCCAAGTCAAGTTATGTGAATCAGTAAATAAAATAATTTCGAAACACACTGTATCAGTAATACAGGTGGAAGAAACATTATAAATCTGTTATTAGGCAAATTTTACGTATAATACAACTGATTATAATTGTGAACGGATAAGATTAGAAAATCGTACGACATAGTATATTTAACAAATGATATAGAAACAAATTGATAATAATAATTTAATTTACAAATCAAGATAACCACGTGTTCATTAAAATTGGTTATTATATCTTATATATATATATATATATAGAAGAAAGTTGTGTTAGTTACACTTTTTATAACTCAAGAACGGTGTTACCGATATGGCTGAAACTTGGTGAGGGGGTAGCTTAGAGCCAGGAGACGGACATAGGATACTATTTATTCTTTTTTTTTTCGAATTTATGCCTTGAAGAGCTGCTTTTTATTTGACTTACTAATATTATAAATGCGAATGTTTAGATAGATGTGATGTGGATGGATGGATGGGTGGGCTACACTAATTAAGTTTTTTATATATTCACGCGGACGGAGTCGCGGGCGACAGCTAGTTTGAAATAAAATGTTGCATTAGAAAATTTTTGTTTACCTACGAAGGATCAGCACAGTATATACAAGTTTTGTTACAAATCATCCATCTTGCTAATATTATAACTGCGAATGTTTGGATGGATGGATCCTGTTGAAATTTGGCAGTAATGTAGAACATAGTCCGGAAGAATATATAGGCTACTAATTATTATTTTTTTAGTTTCACGCGAACGGAGTCGTGGGCGTCCCCTACTACATTATACGATGGCAAATATATCCAAAGAAATATTTAGGAATATTACTAGCAATAATAATAATAGGAGGCATGAGAATACAAAACTTAATTTTATAACTAATTTAACTGTTCTCAACTTTATTTAAACAAAATCTTTATAATTCACTGAATGTTTTGATTCTAAATCATTAAAAGGATTTCAAAACCATTACAATATTTTAAGAAAGTAAGCTTCATTTACACATTGAAGTTAAAAGTTAGTCATAATAATTTTGCTTGTTTAATTCTAAGGCATATTTAAATTAAACTATAACAAAGGACTGTTTGAATACATGTATGGCAAAGATTTCAATAAGTACCGTACAGTAATACCTTTTACAAGTTCAAAGCTAGACTTGCAACATAATATAAGCCAATATTCCTCTTTCCATCTGCAAATCTGCTAAAAGTATATCTGCCTCAGGTTAATAAGCTACATACCTACTTATATTTTATTAAGAACATTTCCTTTGAATGATTTTTACGAGAAGAAAAAACGAAAACAACAAAATTATATCTTACAATCAACCTACGTTACCGGCAGATAGGAAAATACAATTTTATCGTTGGTATGTCAATAAAAGCTTTTGTAAAAGCTTTCTCCTGATAAAGGAATCTTTAAAATCTATGTAATAATTGATAAGTGGGACAATGCCTCTGTTATTTCGGCATAAAGCGAGTTGCTAATTAAAAAATATAACCTTTAATAATAATTCGCGAAAATGTAGTCAAAATTGGAGTTATTTTTTATACAGTACTTTCACAAATTACTCATTAACTCCGTTTAATTGTAAATAATTGCAATTGAACATTCTTTCATAGTTTATAAAAATTTATTCGTAATAAATAAAGATACAAATTTCGAGGGTAGTTTATAAAGATTTTTCACGGCATTACCATTTTCCTGCACTTAGGTAACTGTATTCAGAAGAGTCAATTTCACCATTCCAATTAACCATGGTTACTTACTGCGTAACTTATTATAGACAATTTTGTTTGATACGTTATTAAAATTTTCCAATCAATAGTTATTGTGTAAAATTATGATTTAATATATAAAGGTAGAGATAATAAACCCAGATTATCTCGCCCTTTTACGAGTTGTTATTTTTGCTCTTCCTTATTACGTAAAAAGATAATGTTATTTGATGTTTATGTTTTATTTCTATATATTTTAATTTTTTATAAGCTAATGTATTTAATAATGAACTGCTAAAATCACGAGTTTATTAATTATTAAAGCTTCGCTTGGAAATCACACGTGAGATACAGTCGAAGCATACTGTGAATTACTACAATTTAACATTTATTTCCTCTTTTCTACAGTTTAGAAATATTTTAGATTACCCTCGTTAATTAAATACCTGAAAGTGTATAAATATTTGTTATAAACAAAAAACGAATCATGGTTCATATATTGGATAAACATAATCTGACAGTTGTATGAGGCGCGGTCACATGCTGGCTCATACAGTTGTTGTCAACCTTTATCTCCAAAGGTGTCTTTGCCCGATAAAAATGATCGCTTACTGTAACATGCAACCGAAATAGATCACTTGAAAAATTCTTATATTTATATGGAATCGAACGCTTATCAGCGTCCACTCACATGGCATTGTTTTTATTATCCCACCTCAGTGCTGATATCGTGGCGATAAGGATACGTCCGATACGCGAGATATCGTTTAGACGACGCTATCGATATAGATCGATAGCGCGATCGATGACGGCACGCACCTACTCTATCTACGAACGATTGCTCGCTCGCGCCCGCCGCATGCGCTGATGCGTTTTATTCCATGTCGTTGCAGCGGACGCGGCGACAGTCGCGAAATACTATTTACTATATTTTTAAAAACACATAGCTGCGATCACATGCGACAGTTAATCAAAAGCGATGGAGTGAGGACTTACCGGCGGGACGTGTGGTACGACGAGCGGGTTCATCCTCGCGCAAGTCGGGCGCATGCCGGCGCGCGGTGGCCGGCGCCGCCAGCAGCAGCAACAGCGCCAGCGCGGGCAGCATGCCGCCGCCCGCACCTACCGACATCAGGGGACGGCACGAAATCAAAGGGGAACGCGAGCGATCCGGCGCAGAGCGCTGCGAGAATATCGGCGTAAGGTACGCGAGCTTAGCGAGGCGCGCGACTATAACACGGCACTGCGCAACGGCGACAAACTCGGACTGAGCGGAGCGTGTAGCGCGCGGTGGATTTCCCGGCACAGCGGGCGAGGGCGAGGGGGCCGCGCCCCTCGCGGAAAACGCGGCACTCGCGCGCCGCCGCCCGCCGCACGACGCGGCGCGGGCGGGGAAAATTGCAACGCGCCGGCATGACCGCCCGCCCCGCCGCGCCGCCCCACATCCTCCTTGTACTGCATTTTGAACCGCAAACGCACTGAACTAATGTAAAATGTGTCTGTATTTCTACATACCTACATAAATTACATTTATAAATTAAAATATTTAATATCTTTTTTTTTAGATTACCTCATACTATACTAACCTGCATTTAATGACCTAGTAGTGTAAACACACTGCAGTTATCTGGTTAGGTATTATAAAATTATAGAACAATCTAAAAATTTTATGTATCAAAGTTACATAATCTGAAAAGAGTAACAGAATCTATCAGATAATCTAGTAACGAAATTCTCGGGTTGTTATTTGGTAATAATATAACCATTAGCTTTAGAGTCTCGTTAAAGAGTTTTCAACCTTGTTCGGTAGTTCGCAGATTTAGTGCCCTGATTGACACAAAACTAAATTACAGGATATGAATACTTCTATTTATGATAGCAACTAATTGCCAGCAATAAATATTTCTAATTGATTTACTCAATATACAGAATATTTTGAAATTCCTGTTGAAATTGAAATAATAAGCGGACTAAGTGTGACATTAAAATTGAATATCCTGTCTTCGAGTGTCACAATTCTATAACATGCGACCATTTCATACATGCTGGACACATTTATAATAATTTACTGAATTAAATTCGGTACACAACAGCTCAATTTGGCAAAAAGCCCAACTAGGCTTATCCTATTATATATACTGAGCTAAATGTCTAATACTAAATGCCATTAATTTTACGTATCAATACTATTTATAATAGCGTTAGGCATTACATGATTTAAATAGACATACCGCCTATTTATATACTGTTTCAACAATTAAGTGCGTCACAGAGTAAATTAATTTTGTTCAATTGAAGAGCAAAGGTTTGATGAAACAATTGACTTACGTTTGTGCTTCGTTCTGAAAAGATCGGACCTTTTAATTGAATATTTATGGTTATTATGCTTCGTGTTAAAAAACAAGTTGGACACTTTATGATATTAAAAAAGCATTGGTTTTATGTTTCGCTGTGGTAATTACATAGTAAATTTGTTTACCGATGACAGTACATTGCAGCAACGAATTTTTTACAGATGTTTAAAAAGCACAGAAAAACTATGATTTTAACTGTGGTATTTGTACCTTTTTGTTAACGCTGTCAATTGTATTGGGGTGTTAAAAATACTAGAAGTAACTTTTTCCAGGTCATAACTATATTAGTTCGCTCTGTTTTATATCTTCTCGTAATAACTTTATTTGTAAAATTTACCATCTTAGTAGTCTTGTCATAGAAAGCATATAAAACAATGCTTTAGAATTTTCTTCATCGCGTGAATTTAAACAATTTCACCCTGATGTAAAATTAAAGATGATGTCATGTTGTAAATAATATGTGGAAACTCAAACGTTACAAAATCGTTTACTTGCTATTTCAATAAACGTATAGAACTTATTTCTTTGCTGATAAAATCTAACGTGAGATATAGAATTTTATAGATGATTACTATGTTCACCTCATTTCACGTTCAAAGTATTAATAAACATAATTTTATTATGTTCAAATATATTATGTCTCATATAATTACGTTGATTGGGGATGGGCTTGGTTTGTTTGGCGGAACGCCAGTGCCCCTTTTATTAATTTATTATCAAGAATATAAAGGCAATATTATCAGCACATTATGAATGAACCAATGTGTTACTTTCTTTTGCTCGCGACTTCTATGGCGTGAAATTAAAAAAAAAACCTAAGTAACTACTTCATACATCAGCTATTTTCCAGCATAAGTTTCGTCAAAATCAGTTCAGTCATTATGCCAGTACAGTATGACTGAACTGTTATGGCTCACTGGCATTAGTTAGTATTATATTATGCTAGTAATGCCAAGGCTGATTATGAGCGTCACTGTCCTACTGTACCGTCATAATATAAACCAGGCATTAGAGAAGTTACCAAGTTTTCCGCAGTTTAAATCAAATAGATCTACCTGATTCTTTTTCTTTCAACAATCTTATATAGATAAGACCGCTAAATTATGGTTTAGTATATTTAATTATAAGAACTCTTATAAATATTAATATTATGAAACCTGACAAGCAATAAAGGAACCGCTATTTGTTTACAAATATTTCATTGAATTTCGATTAAAGCTTGCCAAATGTTTTTGTTTAAACATAAAAGTGTTTTAACGTTTAAATAAAATTGATATAAAAAACCGACAGGCGCCAATAGAAATCTTAGACTGCACATCATTATGAAACTGCAAGATTCTTTAGATCTTTTATTTATTCAAGGAAATGTTTACTAGTGTGAAAAATCAATTACTGACTATTTTATTGTTGTGGTAAGCGTCGGATTTACGTTACATACTAAATCCATTTTGTTTTGGGAACAGCGAAGTATTTTTTTTAATGCGTATCCCATATTTTATACTAAAATTAGACGAAAACTAAACCAACAATTCAACCTTTTACCGCTGCGTAAAAAATCCCGAAAATGTTTCCGTCCCATCAGCCATAAGATTCTCGATCATTATACTGTAATTTTAATATTTTCGCTTAATTAGCCCGATTTACAGGTTAGGCTTGACCTGATAAGAAGTACAAATACAATTTTTAAAAGTGTTTTTAAGTTAATATTTTCTTGTATTTTCATTAAGTGATTGTATGGTGTTATCTTGTTATAATTTCGTAAAATTCTAAAATATATAAATCTATTTTTAACAGGATAAATGTGTCAATTGCCGCGATGAAAATCACGTCACACGTATTATCTTTGTTATTGATGAACCTTGCGAGTTCAGCACATACACAATGCGCCCCCAAGCTATTAGCGAGGTCGTCACGGCCGAGTTGAGGTTTTGCGTCATTTCCATAAATACAGCGGCCATCCACCAAGTATCTCTCATATAAAAATCAATAACCACAACAGTCGACTCTATCTTGTATATTTTTGTGTACACGCATTATACTTCCTTTGCATGAAATAAAATATTTATAAGAAAATTGTTCATGAATTCAATATCATTTATCAATTTTAAAATAATTGAATTTTATGAAGATTTTATAAAAAAAAAAGTACGTTAAATTATATTAGAGAAAAATTTTTAGAATTTCATCAGGTTTTGTTTAGAAAAAAACTAAAATTGGTGAGGATACTTTATTCCATAATACAGCATAAGAGAAACCGGAATGTCACATATCGCTTCTTCATTTATCTCCTTGATTTCCATGAAAATAAAAAAAAAACTATCCATCGCACGTCCTACATAATTATATCCTTGACAGTGTCCCAACAACTTCTTCTAAATCATTATAAAAATGCTAAGTTATAATTAATTGTGTATGATCAAAAAACATCCCAATCCTGAGCAGTTCCATGAAAGAAACACTTGATCAGTACAGACACATGCTTTCAAAATACCTAAAACTAAATATCGGTTCGTCATGAGAAATCAAATAAATGCAGGTCCATCACAAGCCGCCTCCACATAAGAAATATCAATATGAAATGTTTTTTGAATGTAAAATACATAACAGCTTACGCTACCTAATTAACTTCAATCAAAATTAAAATTATACAATAAGTCATTCTAGTTATAAATGTACGCACAGATTTTATTAAGAGCTTCAGGGGAAGGAATACTGTTATACTGAGCATCTGAGCAATGTGAATAGGTTTCAGCCGAGGTGGGATCTATGTGGCACTTGAAAATTATTTCCTGTCCTTCCTGTACATTATCAAAGGCATCATGAGCGTAGTCGAAGTACCTCGTCGTGTGAGAAACAGCAAGCGTACTACAAACATAAGTTTTATTCAGAACATATGACAAAGGATTAAAAAATGTTACAAGTCAAGCCGTCATGAGCATTTTATTCCGGTCAATCACGACAAACTCAAACAGCAAACTTACAGCGGGCACACTACAAATGCATTCCGCAAGAGCACTGCAGCTACCAGAATGTTCCACTAATTAACTAATAGAGTAAATATTGAATTAAAGTCGTATATGTGAATTAACTTTAAATACTTTATTACGACAACTTATTCCACATTATAGTATACATATAAAACATGTTATGCTGTGATTCTTTATCACGAGTCAGCTACGAACCTATCCACATCACAATGCACGAACACTGTTTAAGTGTACACTGATCCACTGTATTGTATTGATTGTAAACAAAAAAAAAAGTTGTAATTTAGCAAACTTTACACTCTATCGTTTGTTCCAAGTCATCAGAGATCGAACAAACAACGCATCCTTTGGGATGTGGAACACACACAGATTAATGCTAATTACACAGCACGACCCCCGGATAATTTGTACACTGATTATAAATAGTTTGAAACGGTTAATTGTATAGGATTCAAAGGGTACAGTTACACAAAAGGGTTAGCTCCAAAGTATGCAAGTTCAGCGAGAATGCGATGCGAGCTCGGTCACCGGGTGACGCATTACATTTATGAATCCGCACATAATACATTGTATTCATTTATAGCAAATAAAGTTAACATATCTTAAACCATAGTCTCTTTCAGTAATCAGATTGTCTGTGGTTAGCGGTTGGCGTTCTTGAGCTGGTTGGAGAGCCAGTCGAGCCCCTCGTATAGGCCGTCGCCGGATGTGGCGCACGTCGCCTGGATGTACCAGTTACGGTTGCGCAGCGAATGCAGCCCCAGCTTGTCCGTTATCTCCGCTGCATTCATCGCGTTCGGCAGATCCTACAACACAACACATTGCAATCATGTGACTCTTATTTTATTACAGCTCCTTTCCTGTACATGTGGTAAAATTTTATATTTTAAAGCTAGATATCAATAATTATCTAGTGGTAAAAACCTTATTGATCAATAAATATTGTATAGCTTTCCTAGTTTAGTAGAGAAATGAGATGTTGGCGACCTTGAACATTTAGATTAAATAGTCTGATTGCCACTGACTTTTCACTACTTTCATAAATATGTAACTGGAATGAAAACATTTTTATAACTGTGGCTAATTCATAATTAAAAAATAGTTTCATAAATTTACTATAACTGCTCAGATGCTACACGAGAAAATGGAATTGAAAAAAATTTTGGTAGTGTAAAAATGAGAAAGAAACAATGTAAATTCTTTGAATTTGTCTTCATTTAGTTCTTAGTAATGTTAACTTATTGCTTGAAACTGTATAAAGATTTTCTTATAACATACATTTAAGTTTTTTTATTAGGAAGACATTTTTTCTCATTTAAACAATAGATGCATTGAGTATATAATGACATTGAATAATTAAAGAATTATTAAATATGAGCCTACAATACTTGGTGTTACATAATATAAGAAAAAAGAAACATTTTACATGTAATAAGTAAATGTTCAACATTTTGTAAATAATTTAATGTTATTTGCAATTTGGATTAAAATCAAGGACATTTTCCTTGTGTATGGTGAAACATATAATTTCCTACATATTAGTTAAAAAATCGACAAATTACGGAGTCACCATTAGGCAACTGTGTATAGTAATTCAAATATAATACATATATTATTTATATTACTGTGAATTGTAAATGTCATCAAACAAACACACACGCACACATCTGATTTATTTACAGGTGTAACAATAGACTGACGGTGAGATCGACACAAATAATCTCACCTGTTTGTTTGCAAAGATGAGAAGTACAGCATCCCGTAGCTCATCTTCGCTTAACATCCGCATGAGTTCCTCGCGCGCCTCACCGATACGCTCTCGGTCGTTACTGTCTACTACAAAGATGAGACCCTAAAATAAAAATATACAGTTATATAAACATATTGACTTATCCTCAATTTCTGATATTAAAATATTTTATTATGTTCCATAAATGTTTCTAAAAGGAAACGGTGACATGAAACAAACTAAAGAAACTAATCTAACAAGTGAAAGATGTAATGCTTATATCTTAACTTTATAGAAACAATCATGGGGATGTCCAGGCTAGAGTAGGATGGGGGGAGAGCATCTGTCCCTCCCTAGAGAATTGAAAGTAATAGACATAAAAGTTGGGATATAAAACTACTTTGGAAAAGCCAACATAATAGCTGCCACCTCCTAGACCTTCATCAACATCAGCTAGCACCTATGGAAGCTATGAAATCATTATTAGCGACATGTGAACACATGATCACTTTTTCCAACTGCAAAAAGTAGTTTCCCTATTATAGTTATTTCTTAGTTAAAAACCTTTAGTTAAAGCCAGAACCAAGAAATTGAATAAAAACAATAATGTTAGTTTTTGTATTAAGTAATATTGATTTTATACAATTTATAACCAATCAATACTGACCTAAAGAGAAAGTATTCATAAACCATACAAACACTTCCTTATTCAGAAATCGTGATAATCATTACATAACATTTGAATTTAAGTAACATTAGTACAAATGACACACCCACTTAAGAATGATAATACTTTTATCTATAGGTTTAATAAATTTTCATTATGATTCATGTTACTTCATTAGGCAAATTTGTCACCTTAAACCCCACACAGTTAATAAATACTGAAAAAAATTAATAGGAATAAATAGAAATAATAAATAAATAAAGCTTATATACCAACTAGGTCTTCAATCAATTCAAAATTAACAAAAACACAAAAATAAATGCCTTGTAGACTAAAATGGCTAGCAGACATAAGTACCAAAACTATTAAACACATTTGAAAAAACCTAAAAAAATACCTCTTCTCATCAGCATAAAAGAACCTATGCAAACTGTTATTATTTGTCTGAAATACTATGACTAAAAATGTAGGAACCACTTTTCTCAATTTGTGAATGTCACTGAGAACTTGTATATTTAAAATAAGAGTTTAATTTTATTACCTGTGTGTTTTGGAAGTAATGCCTCCACAGTGGTCTGATTTTGTCTTGGCCACCAACATCCCATACAGTGAAACTGATGTTTTTGTACTCTACAGTTTCAACATTAAACCCTGTAACAATAAACATACAGTAAGTCTTTTAATAGTAGAAAATTACAGAGCGGCACCTAGTTTTGTTAAATAACATGAAATCTGCAAGTAGTGAAAAGGTGGCAAATATTAAAATAAGTATATTTCCCTTTTTTTTATATCCCCCTACCATGACAAACCTACTTCCCCTTCCCATCCTTCTACCAAAGCGGTGGAAGGGCGACACAACTAAATACATAAAATGCATATAAAAAATAAAATAATTCTACATAATCTCTACCTATTCAATGGGTTGGTTATTGGTATTGTAATTGCACACAACTTATTTTTGATTACAACACTGAATATTAATTGCACAATGATAAATCATAATTTTACTTTCACTTGTATGGCCTAACAGTAACAACTAATTTACAAAAATATAAATTATTTACAAGAGTAACATTAGGTTAGGTTACTAAATGCTAATATGGCAATATGTCTTTAAATAGATTATATATATATATATATATATATATATATATATATATATATATATATATTTAAAGTATATTTGGAATGATTAAAATGTTGTTACATGTTTACATCTCTAAACATATTGTCATATAACAAATTGAGCATAATAAATGTTGGCATCAATCCATATTAGAAAAATTGATTATTTTGAAAGCATATGTAGCTGTATTCAGACACTTTATTCCTGTATACTGAATTAAAGACAATGGCAAAGTTTTACAGATCCACTAAAGAAATAATTCAAAATAATAATAATTAGTACTTACCAATAGTAGGAATTGTTGTAACAATTTCGCCTAATTTTAGTTTGTATAGAATTGTAGTTTTACCAGCGGCGTCGAGACCCACCATCAATATTCTCATTTCTTTTTTGCCGAATAGGCCTTTAAATAAATTTGCAAACATATTCCCCATTTTGCAGCTTTTTAAGTCGTCTGAAAGAGAAATTATTAAATTATTAATTAAGAGCAACCTCTCTGACTCATCCGTCAGTCTACGTTACTTTTAATCAATGATAATGACATGGCAGCTCAACACCAATAAGAAGCAGATTTCTTGCAATATAATTGTAAGTGAGATTGAACAATAATATGCACCACTAACTGTTAAATTGTAATAATGATGAACTATACAATACAATTAGTATTACTACGACTAATTTAGACAAAGATTGACACCGCTGTTGATACCTCCGCTACGGTCACCACCCAGGGTTTATGACGGTGAAAATCGACAATTAGAGTGCGGAAGAAACAAACACTTCGTCTTTACAAATAATTGTATAAATTTACTTACATTTTCGGAAGCAAATATACGAAATATGACGAAAAACGCTACAATTCACTAAAGTCTCTACAAATCGCTGGATGTCAAAATGGCGGCGAACGTGGAAGTTATTCGTGCCTATGCCACGTATCGACGAAAAAGTGGCCAGTATGAAAATAGGAGTAGTTGAATTGAAATATTTTAGTAGGAATGAGTACAAAAATATTGTTTTTCCATAATATTTTTATTTTAATAACTAGCTCATCATAGGGTACGTAAGATATTAGTTACCGACATTTTATCTACATATAGATTTGAGTTAAATTTAAATCCTAACGTCATACATAATCACAAAGCCTATTATTTGGTGAATTTCCATAAAAAGTTTAGAACTAACCAAGAAAAGAGGCTCAACCATTTTCTCTAACATAGAACCATTATTGTTCGTTTCGTCCAGTATATTTAATTTTTTGTCTACAAATATATTATCGGGAATCCAAGCTAGACTAGTGTAGTGTAGTAAATTGCCAATGAAGTTATGACAATAGTGAACTTAAACTAATACTTTAAATACACTACTTAATTTTTAAATCCAGTTTCAGAGTAATCCTGAATACAGATTATTATATTAGTTATGGTAGTTTTATAACGAATTTTGTTTATAAAAGTTCAATTCCAATCTGACTGACATTGACATTTAAGTTTTTTTTATCTGATATGGTTTTGATTTTCATTCTGAACTTTACTTGCCTAATCCTAATCTAAAGTTTAGCCTTTACTTTTATTAAAAACAATAGATATACTGGTGCATATAAACAATAGTTATGTGTACAAGTCTAACTTTACCCAGTTCAACACTGGAGACGATGAATAAATTAACGAAGTGGCTTTCGGAAACTCCGAAATTCACATCATTTAGAATCAATAGATTGAAAGAATTTGATATTAAACATCTTGAGAAGTATTTAGAAACAGTAAGTCCTTTTAACAAACACTAAACGTATGTGTGTCTGAACATACCTATGTATAGTACCTACTATGCTTCTGTAATAACAAATTGCAAAAGCAAATATCACAAAAAAATTAGGTAAATATCTGTTTATAGGCTTCTAAATCAAGACTTATATTTTTACAGCAAAGTCATGAATTAGGCGTAAATCATATACCCAATATTTATTTATTAAAAGAAGATTGCCTTATTGTTGAAAAGTGGCCGGAAAATGTATGCCTGGAAAGGGGTAATAGTGAAGTAATAGTTGATGTATCCTGTGCAACTGCAGTACTGAGAGGTGCTCATGTGTTTGCACCTGGAGTTTTAGCACTCCCACCTAGTAAGTATAACATTTTATAGGTCATCATGATTATGTCTGGAAAAATAAAAATGTTTATAAGTTGTATGTTTTTCTTGTCAATTATTGCTTTACTTGGAAAAGAAATCTAGAAAACTTATAATGATATTTTGATATGCAAGTTTACTTTTTATAAGAGATTTGCAATTAACTATGGATTAATGCTATTAACAAGTTGGTAGAGGCAAATGATAAAATTTAAAACCTTTTCATTAGTACTCAAGATCTGTTTATAACAAAATTGTCTTGTTTTAGGTTGTAAGTTGAATGAGAGAGTTGATGTGTATGGAGATTTAGAACGCAAATGTAAAAGAGGTCTCAAAGTTCATTATGAAGGTAGAAAAATTTATGTCGGAACAGGTTATTTAAAAATGCAACGGTATCATTTATTTGACAGTGGTGTCCAGCCAAGGTATTTTGTAAACAACTCAGTTTATGTCCTTTTTAAAGTAAAAAAAGTAGCTTAACTAAAAATTGCTTAATTAATACATAGAAATCTTTATTATTTGTCAAATCAATTGACGAGATTGCTGATTAGCTACATAACATAAACAGCTTAAGTATACATGTTTTATTTTTCAGTGGTATTGCCGTACACATGTTACTACCAGCTTCTAGGTTGCCAGTTATAAATGAATCTATTTATCCGAAAGGACATATTTTATTACAAAACCTACCTTCAATTATTGTTGGTTGGGTTCTGAATGCGAAACCAGATGAACACATTCTTGATATGTGTGCAGCACCCGGAAATAAAACAACACATTTAGCTGAGACATCAAAAAACCAGGTACATTTCTCCATGAGTTTTCATGACAAAACATCTGTATAAAAACATTATTTGCTATTTTTTTTCATGGAGAATCATAGTTATGTTTTTATGAAGTAATGACTATTATTATGGTTATTTTGGTGTTTTTTTGGAGAAAATGCCTTGATAACAGCACTATAATATGGAAAGCTTGTACATCTTGAATATACCACCTTTATGTTACTAAACAGTAATAAGCAAGTTAATTACAGGCACCTATTGTTGCTTTGGATAAAACAAAACAGAAAACGGACAAGATAAGTAAGAATTTAGAAGCACATGGAATAACTAGTGTCAAAGTATTCCCATATAACTCTGAAAATTGTTGTACAGATAACAGTGAAGGAGAAAAAAATGAGCCACCGTATCCATTGAATACTTTTGATAAAGTACTTTTGGATGCCCCGTGTAGTGGCTTAGGACAGAGGCCACTGTTAGCAAATACTATTACTCCAAAGATGTTGCTGTCTTATAAACATATTCAAAGAAAATTATTTGATGCGGTAAGTATCTTAATTTAATTTATTTAAAACTAGCTGTCACCCTCGACTCCGTCCGCGCGGATAAAAAAGCTTAATATATAGGAAATGTTGTTCTAGACTAAATTTATGAAATTCTACATTTATGCCAAATTACAGCAAAATCCATGCAGTGGTTATGGTGATACCCTTAAACAAACATCCATACATCCAAACAATTGCATTTATAATACTCTTGTTATGGTTTTGTTATTTTAACTTGTATATTGTCTTATTTACGACATTTTATACTTACATTTTCAGGCAGTCAAAGTATTAAAAGTTAATGGAATACTTGTGTACAGTACATGTTCAATAACTCAAGAAGAAAATGAAAGAATGATTGCATGGGTGTTGAACAAATTTCCGAATATGCAATTGGTTCCCGCTGAACCCCTGCTTGGTGGACCAGGGTTAGCAAACATTGGGTTGACCGATGAACAGAGGTAGTATAATAATATATTTATTTATAAATCTTAAACATTCACCATATATTTAATATTCAGATCATAAACATATTTAAATAATACTGTAATAACACACATTTTGGAAAATTTTAACTTGCAAAATGGCTTAAATAATAATTCTTTTTGCTTAAAGTAAACAAATTAAAAATAATATACAAACGAAAGATGAAATGGCTTAAGCTTCGTTTTGAGCTTGTTTTTTTGAGTTGGTTGCTTTTTTTTTATGACATATGTAAGTTTTTGCAATTTATGTTTCACTAAAGTTTTAAAAAATTAAATAAACATGCTTGAATATATATAATTTTTTTGTAAATTTACTAATGTTTCTTCTACCATTCCAACAAAGCTCTAGGCTTGTGCTAGGATATGGTTTACGACAATAATCGAATGACGGGATTCGAACCCCCGACCTCGTGATCGGAAATCCGTATCCTGAAACATTAGGCTATTGACGCTTAATTTGATACTACTTTTATATCTTTACAATTCAATTAGTAAAATTAATTTTAACTAATCAAATTGTATAATTTACATGACAAAACTTAAATATTTATTATGACTTTTCTTATTTATTTTTAATATTCAATAAAGTCATAATAAATATTTAAGTTTTGTCATGTAAATTATACAATTTGATTAGTTAAAATTAATTTTATTAATTGAATTGTATAATTTATATAACAAAACTTAAATATTTATTATGACTTGTTATTTTCTGTAATATTTTTATTACCTATCTGCAGAATCATGGTACAACGTTTTGGTCCTGAGGAAGATCCACTTAGGCAAGTTGACGACATATATAAAAATAGTATAGGATTTTTTATCGCTAAGCTTATAAAAATCAAATAATTTTTATTATAAACACAAAAACAAATATTGTAATCAAATATTAATAAATTTGTGTTTCATTTATAACTTTTCTAATTTCACCCATAAACCTGCAGCGGGTTTTAACAGTACAGAGTCCCTGTCAACGTTGACAGGATTTTCTGTCTTATCGCATGGGGAGAATTTGAAATTCTTCAATAACGACACCATAGCTATCTTGGCAGATATCATAGCAAAACGCATACCTGCAAAAATAAAGTTAGGTAAAGAATATTGCAATCAACAAACAATTGATTAACACATTGAATGCCACTTGGAATTTTTTTGTATGAAAGAACTCGCTTGGTAAGTCAGTGGCACTGAATGTGTTAATAAAATTTGTTTTTGAATAAGCCATCTTATTTTAATAATAGAAGTTGGTAAAATCAGCTAATGTATTCTTAGAGAAGTCTCTTTGGTTAAGGGCCTTTCTAAATGTCAAGAAAAATTATGCACTCAGAAGACACCTAAGCGAAATGAAATTCTTACTAGGGGCCCCTAAATGCTGCATAAGAGACCCCTAAATTGAGGGAGAAAATGCTCATAAAAGAAATAGGATGTCCACTAACAAAACATTATAATACGTACCAATACAGTTTCTAGGACCAGCTCCAAAAGCCAAATACAAGTGTGAAGGTCTGTTCTTCCTCTCTTCCCCCATAAACCTCTCTGGTCTGAATTCATGAGGCTCTGGGTATATGTCAGGGTCCATATGCACGCCATACACGGATATGGCGACCACTCGCCCAGCCTCTAGTGTCACATTTGTACCGGGGATGACGTAATCCTTTACACAGACTCTGTCTACCCTCGATAGTGGCGGGTGCAGGCGTAATGTTTCTGAAATATAAAGCATATTAGTAACTTTTTACCATATTATTCTTTACTAGAATGTTATAGACAAATAAAATCAGCCGGGAGTCAAAAATGTAAAAGTTTGTAGTATTGATTAGAAATTACCTAATAAGAATCCTTCGAGATAATCGAGTTCTGTTAATAACTCGTAAGTAATTTCCTTTCCTTCTGTAACTTGTAAAATATGTTCACGAAGCTTTTTCTGTAGTTCCGGATTCACGGCCAGAATGTGAATACCGAATGACAACAATGTGCTTGATGTCTCATACCCTGCTATGAGGAAGAGGAACGATTGACCATCTATTGTGTCCTCGTCGAGTTCTTAAAAAAAGAAAGAACAAACATAAAAGTAAAATGTTCTATTTCAATATGGATTTTTCGTGTGCAGTAGCGATTTTAGACTAGGGCAAGGTGGGGCGAACGCCCTGGGCGGGCACAAGGACCGCCGTTGAATATAAAGGGCCACCCGACGCAAAAATCTCGCCCAGGGCGCCGAAGATGCTAAATCCGGCCCTGTTCGTGTAAAGATACTTAAGTTTTTACTATAATAACCAAGATTTTGTTCATTTTACTAAAATAAAAATACGTGAGTGAAATTTCTAAATTAGTGACATTAAATATTAATTACTTTTTCGTAACAATTAAATTGTATTCATATCCATATTAGTCAAATAGTTTTATAAAGAACATTAAACTACCCGCAATAAACCACAACACAATTAAACTGATAATTAAAGTTATTAGTGAATGGTATCAGTAATTTATAACGTATAAGATAACGGTCGTAACTTGTTTGTTATCAAACAATTAATTGCTTGTTTGATATGAAGAGCATAGACAATAAAATTATAGATCTTACTGAAATGTTTCTAAATGAATAAGATAAGTTTGCTCTATGACTATTGATGTACTGTGATGGTCAGATCAAACAATAGATAGCTATTATAAAAGTATAGACTTTGAATAGAGCTTAATGGGACATTTAACGGTGGGTTTCCACTGCGGTAACATTCACTAAAACACATTTTGTTAAGAGAGAATAAAAAGTACGACAGTCTTTATTATTACAAATCTTTTTGTAATCACGGTACCAAATAATACTTTTATCTACGATTATTTTTGTTCCATGATGTGTTAATGTTATCGTGGGTTTCTGAGGAGAAAATCCCAGTTTAAAACACATATCTCTGTTGTGTCAAAGATAATGACAAAGATGGAGATATGTTTTATATAGAGATTTTGATCTCAGGAACTAACAGTTAATGTATCATACGTAATGTTATTGATTTTAAAAACTCAATATAAAACGTACGAATGACTGCACCCGTCTTTTCGGCTTCTTCTCTTTCCTTGTCTGCCGCTTCTATGATCTGTTGTAGGAAATCTCTTTTTCTGAAATGTATGGAATTTTTTTTTATGATCAAACTTATAATTTTGTCCATCCGCATGTTTCCAATTGCATCCAATTGCATTCCGCATGCATCCGCCAATTAAAGAAAAAAACTTAATTGGAAGTCCTCCAGACTATGTTCTACATCTATGTCAAATTTCAGCGTGTTAGCTGTTCTGGAGATAAACATTCATTTAAACTTCGCATTTACAATATTAGTAAGATTGATAAGAACTAAGATATGTACGTACACTTTATTTTTTAAATTAACTGTTGCTTTTTACATCAAGGATAAAGTATAAGAGCGAGTAATAAAGCTATTAAATAATAATAATAAAATTTTAAAATAACGAAGAAGACAGTTTTTCTTACTTTGATTCAGCTTTCCTTCTCTCAGCTTTAGTCACTTTCAAAACCTTGACCAGTTCTTCGATAGCATCAGTATTCAAAAAGGATAGATTGAAATATTTCATTAAATTGGGCATAAACATTATAAATACCAATAAAAAAACCTTCCTTTTCGACGTTAAGTCTCCGAACTGTTTTGCTAACTGAAAAAAATAGCTTATTAATAGAAAATATTGCACATCAAAGTAATGGAAGACAAATTGGTCTATGTTTCAGAAAAGTTTGACTCAGCCGTGTTGGCCTCTATTAAGGGGTTGTAGCTTGTAGTGATATAATACCTTTACGAAATGCGCGTTTTCATCAGTCAAAGCGTCGGTTTTGATCCCAAATGCGCATGCGCCGATCACTTCCAGTGTCAAATGGCCCACTAAATCTTTCATTTCGACGTCACTTTTATCTAAAAATATTCATTTATTAATTAAAATAATGATACTTAGTCGTGGGTTTCCGCTGCTATTATCTGTACAAAAGTATTTTTTTAGGATAACACTGCATGCAGGGCCGGCGTTAGGAAAGGGCGCGTTTGTTTAACCGCCCAGGGCGCTAGGTGCGAATTCTACTTTTTCACATAACCTTGGGGGTATCCAGGCATGGTAAAAGTGGGCGCCGTAGAAAACTTTCCTACTCTAGTAGGTCTAGCTAAAACCGTTTTTGTCTACATGTTCGTGTGATGTCGGCAGAAGAAATCTATAGTTATAATTTTGATGGTACATTAAAACAATTACCATATTGTTGTAAGAATTTAACCATTTGGTCTGAACTTTGCTGTATCAATGGTATCATGTTCTTTAAACGAGAAGAGCTGAATGATGGTGTTATAGCGCTGCGAACTGCTTTCCATTGCGATCCCTACAAAATAATTATAATATTATGAACATTTTACGTACTGTTGGACCATACATAAAAACAGATGTATTAAAAATAATGTTATTAATTGAATAAGGTATTTAAAATTGAATTTGATATAAGTCTTTTAAAATATCTTGGCGGCCCAGTTAGCATCGAGCTGCAGTGCACCCTAACACATCTGAAGTTGTGTTTTGCGCAGCGACTTGCGCGACGTTAAGAGCCGTCAAGATATCTGAAAACATAGCACAAACTCACAATAATTTCTTAATTCCTTTATAATAATTTACTAAACATTGGGAGCTAACTTCAGAGACGGTATTTGATTAATATAAGTAGTATTTTGCTATATATTTTCTTCACTACCTTCAGGTTAAGTAAGGTCCTTTTGAGGAATCTCGGTTCAGCAGTTTCCAAGGAATTCCGATCCACAAAATATTCGAAATCTCGAGTTGTAATAGCTTTAATAAGATCAGGGTCGATTATAAACAGCGTTGGCCTCCGACCGAGGAATATGCCTGGAAATTTTACTTTTTTTAAAATCTCAGTCACTATCACTAACAAACCAATTACAGTACGAAAAACGGATTATCAATATCAAAATAATCTGAATGTTCAACATAAAGTTGTCGACTTAAGGACATACACTGATATTAATCACAAAGCTATTGTATTCAGACGTTATCCAAGCCTTATCTAAAATGTACCACTTTATAAGTTATATAGCAGCAGCAGCAGAGCAGCTACCCGCAACTTTGCTTGCGCGGAATTAAAAAAAATATAAAAATATCCTATATCACCCGGAGTTAATAACTTTCCAACAGTGAAAGATTTTTCAAATATATTCAATACTTTCGGAGCCCATTTAATGCAATGGAATCAAATCTTTTATTAAATTCAACAGATAATAGAAACAACGAACAAAAATATATTAATTGTTTTTTTTTTATTAAATCATATTTTCTTACCACCAAAGGGTTTTCCTTTAAAATGATTATAAACATATAATTGATAGTCTTTATAAGATATTTGTTTTGTTACACGCTTCCACAAACTACCAACAAATATTATAGGCTTGATATAACTGATTCCTTTCTTTTCAAAATAGTCGTAATTGTATGTTCCATAATAATATATCGAATATATTGCAACAAGGAACAACAAAATCTTCCAATCATCCAAAATATAAGAAACAATTTTATTTTGGGTTATGATATCCATATTTTTCTCTTTATCTGAAATTATACACTTATTTGTTGTTTATATAAATCACTTTATGCTAGAGTTCATTTGTTTAAATTTGTAACACTATGTAGCGAAGTAAAAATAACTTTGAAACACAAAGAAAATAACGGTTTCAAAAGAAATTGTAGGCACAACGGACCGCACGATTGAAACTGATTGATCTAACTAGAATCTAACAGAATATTACTCATAATGATATCTTCCTCCTCCATACCGTTGTTTACATAAGTTAAGTGGTTAAGGTCTCGCTCGGTACAGATTATAGCAAGAAGTTTTTTACTTTAATTTGAAACTATTTTTTATTGTTATGGACCTATATTAACATGTATAACTAAAGCACATTCAGTTTTTTAATCAATTTAATTACTTTTAAAATTCTATTTTCAAAGTATCAAAGTTATTATGCAATGGATTTACAAGATAAATATTAATATTTTGTAAGTTATAAAGTCCCGCCAATTTTTAAAAACGAACAAGATAAATATATGATTAAATTTCCGTTTCCGATTAACATTGAAGCCAAAACCGGAAGTCATATTTTGGATTTTTCTAATTATCTGAGGAGGTTGTGATGAAAAGTCGCCAATTCGTGAAACTGTTTTTGAAATGTAAAATATGAACAAAAAAAGGCAATTAATTATGTTAATTACTAAAATTATCGTTAATATTTTAATGCTTACAAAATATTCTTTTTGACACCGAATTGTTCCGTTCGTCTTCGTACACTGTGTACGCTAATGTCAACTGTCACTGTGACAGTGTCACTGTCATGTTCATCTTTCATTATATGTCGTGTTTGCCAATCTAACCAAGAAAATTTTGGAAAAATCAATAATATTTGAAGTGAAAGCCTCAAAGCGATAATTTTTCTTCTCTTTCCCAATATACCGACGCTTTTTGTTTAAAAACGGAAAATGGGGAAGACTTCTAAAGACAAAAGAGATATCTATTACAGGCTAGCAAAGGAAGAAGGATGGAGAGCTAGAAGTGCATTTAAATTGTTACAAATTAATGAAGAATATAATATATTCAAAGATGTATTACGCGCGGTTGATCTTTGTGCTGCTCCTGGTAGTTGGAGTCAAGTTTTAACAAAAAAATTAAAGGAAAATGCGTCAAATGTTGACGACGTTAAAATTGTTGCGGTTGATTTGCAAGCTATGGCAGCTCTTCCAGGTGTAAAGCAAATTCAAGGTGACATTACTAAAGTGAGCACGGCACGTGAAATCATCAAGGAATTTAAAGGCTTGAAGGCTGATTTAGTTGTTTGTGACGGTGCACCTGATGTGACTGGCTTACATGATATTGATGAGTATGTCCAGTCGCAGCTTCTTTTAGCTGCATTGAATATTACTACACATGTATTAAAAAATGGAGGTGTGTTTGTTGCAAAAATATTCAGGGGGAAAGATGTCACACTTCTTTATTCTCAATTGAAGCAGTTTTTTGAATTGGTGACTGTATCAAAGCCGAGGAGTTCCAGAAATTCTAGTATAGAAGCTTTTGTTATCTGCCAGAACTATACTCCACCAGAAGATTTTGTACCGACAATGATAAACCCTCTTTTAGATCACCAGTATTGTCACTTTAATCAGCTGATTGGTCCTAACAGATTTATCGTGCCCTTTAATGTTTGCGGAGATCTAAGCGCTTATGACTCAGATACTTCATATTCCTTGTTATTAGAAGGACAATCAGAATATGAATACAAAGATCCTGTACAAGGTCCAATTAACCCTCCTTATAAAGATGTTCTTGAAAAAACTAAAAATTTACAATTATAAAATTTATAGCTTTTATTTAGTTTTATTTTATTTTTCTTCTTAAATATAAGTTCTCCTTAAGTGTTCAACAGTTGTTTTTCAAACTAACAGTTTTGTTAGTTTTTTATTTTTTGTTTTTTTTTTATTTGACTTACTGTAATAGAAAAAATAGTTTAAAAGAAAAGGATACAATAATTTGAAAACATATAAGGCTTAAATACAAAATAAGAATGGTTGCAGGAAATGTAATTCTTTTAAAAGAACAAAAAGCATCACTTTGATGATTTTTATTTTAACCTTTTGACTGCCTTTGATTTTGCGTCTTTTAGTTCCCCTTTTTTGTTATTTCTTTTTTATAATTAACTAAAAACTATTTAATAAATAATTAGTAACATAATTTTAAAAGAGAAAAAAAATATCACCCTTCAAGACTTCAAATCAATAGTTCTAATCAGTTTCGATTGTCAAAATTTTTGTTCACTTTTAAATTTTCGTTTAATTTAAATTTCCTTTGAAAATTACAATAAAAATCAAAATGAAAAAGTTCAAGATGCCCACTGTTCAAGAATTTCTGGCTCTAAAGGTGAGTTACGCACATTTACGCATCCACTATAGTCTTTGAATTACGCAAAACCCTACTATTATATTAAAAACTTTTGTTTTCATCGAGTTCAAATGTAAAAAGTAGCTTTCATCTCATATTTGTACTTTCTTCTCAATTTTTATGCCATATAAGATTGCATGGCATTGGTGGAACCTTCAGACATGCGTATCAATCGATCCATCCCAAAACATTTCCCAAAGTTTTTCTTAACAAACCCCCCCTACCCCTAATCTCAACCTAGTACTGCCACTGTGAGATCTCGTCATCCCATTTTAGTGTTCTATTTTTGAACATAAAATTTGAGTATAATTTTATGACAGTCATAGTTTATACCGATAATTAAAAAAAATCGTTTCATCTTACGTAGACCATATACGGGCCTAAAAAAGAGCCAGTCTGGGTTTACTTAGAACGGGAAATGAGAGAAAATGTGCACATCAAGCCTTATAACGAGCTAGTTGGTGCGTGGTTGAAGTTTTTAAGAGACTTAAAGCGATTTCAACATAGAGAAGGTAACTTATTATTCTTATTCATGTACATAGCTTTAAGATCTCAATTAAGCTGAATATCCAGACGGAGTATATGTTTTTATTAATTCATTTTGTAATTGCCAGCTCAAAGAAAACTGAAACGATTGCAAAGAGAAGCAGGACCTGGGTGGTTTTTTGAATTGTCGCGGTTGCAAAAGAACGTTTTGAACGACTTAAAATCAAATATCCACCAAGATTTGATAGAAGATATTCCAACACGCACCAGGAAATCCCTGTCGGATCTTGGAGTCACATTGAAAATACCAAAATCAATGCTAATGAAGGCTATGACGGAATCTATAGAAGATCCGGGCATTTTTATATGGAACCTTTATACTGCGTATTATAAAATGCCACCAAGTAAATTACGAGGGGGTAAAGTTGCTTTATTATTTTTTATTTTGACTTAAAACACATTCTATCTTCATTATGATTTATATATAATATATTATGTGAAAATTAACTTGGCACACGCGCTAGTACCAAACAGACATTTAAAATAATAAATATGGAGGCCGTTTAGTCTACTTATAATTTATGTTTTTAGGAATATTGTTCACAAAGCATATATCAGTTTGATACAAATAACTGCTCGTATTCTTTTAGTAGTGTCAAGAAATCAGTTATTTTGGAAATGGGCTACGACGACGTTTCTTTAAAAACAGTTTTGTTTTACAGAATATGATATAAATTCAATGATACTGATGTCCAGTTTAGTTTTTATCGATTTAGAGGAGTGCATCGAGAGGTTGGAAAAATTGACGGAGTCAAAAGTTGTAGAGAAGAAAGTCAAACCTAAAAGTTTGTACCTAATAAACTCTTATGTAATTTAATACGTAGAGATAGAGTTGATTAATTTTCACAGATATTTGATACTTGTATATTTTCTATAGAGTTTATTATCTCTGCTAAAAAGCACTCAAATAACGAGATAGTAAACGGTGACCGATGTTGTGGGTAGATAAAAAGTCTTAAAAAGGTTACCCTTGTTAATTTGAAAATAAGCATTGAATTTACATATAAAGTTTAATATTAATAGTGAAAGAAGAACGACTCAGTCTGTATTCCATATTACAGAGCCACCTAGGAATTTTAAACCGAATGTGAGATATGGTGATTACTTACAAAAGAATTACGTTCCGCCGTATAAAAAACATGCTGTTGATAATAAAGAAACAAAACCTCCACCCCTCGGAAATAAAGTCAAGTTAAGAAGCCAATCAGTAAGTTTCTTTTATCATATATAAAAAAACGAACGAATTGATAACCTCCTTGTTAACGTCTGCTAAAAGAGGTATACAAATGTTTCGTGCTATCAATCTCATAGTCTCTTCTCTAAAGCCTTAGTCTATTACGTCTAATACTAATATATTATTAATTTGATATAAAATATAAATCTTTGCGTATGTATTTTTACAGAGTTACGAGAAGCTTTGTGAAGATCTAAAATTTGTAAGTACAACTATAGTTATCAAAATTATTGTAAAAATTTTTGTTAGTATATAAACAAATCTTCATTACTTTTTTAGCTAGAAAAACGAAAGGAAAGGAACAAGAAAGAGAGACCAGAAACTCGAATGTGCACATATAAATTTTGGGAGCCCCCCTGTACACTACGTATGTATTATTTATTAAATAAAACCGCTTTCCTTTACCCCGAAAACAACCTGGAGCTCAAGTCGAACTTTCAATCGCACTTCAAGGTCAAGTACAGGGTGTCATAATTGGAGCATATACACTGATAAAAAATCCTTATATAAATTATTTGGCAAAAATCAGAAGAAAAAATTTTCTAATTAATTTTGTTATAACTATTTTAGGTAACAGTGATCCAAGATTGCTTTCATATTTGAAGAAATTGAGAATGTTAAAGATAAAAGCGAAACCGAAGTTCCATTCGCCGTACGACAATGTTCAATACAATGTTGGTGGGGTCGTGTTTTCAGGAGGGAGGCCACATTTCATCTTAAACAGTATGTTAATTTTTTTCTTCTTTATTTAAAAAAGTAGAAGAAGAAACTGGTTATTGGAACTTAGTAGAACTTAAAGAGAGTAGTGCACCATTTTTGTTTTTTTTTCTCATCGTGATTTTTGTAAAAGCAAAATATTTTATGGTCAAATGCGGTTATAGCTTTTAGGAATTGATATCTATTTTGTACGATAGCCCGCAATCTTGGAAGACTATCATTTTACCTAGTTACTCCTATAAACTTAAAAATGTGTAGGTTTTTCTCCACACCGATATTTTGTTTTTTTTTTGTTTACCTGTCTTTACGACAAAAACATAAGTTATTTTGAGCGTTGTGCATTTAAAAAGTAATATTTATGCATGTGTAAACGATTTAATAAATATGTTTCTACTTTAGACATATCATTGTTGCCGACCGGCTACGTGCCAATCAACGGTGGGGCTGTTGCGTTTGGTAAAGATGTGCTCCTCCATATTCATGGTTACTGGAAATTTCCTAAAGACGTCAAAGAGGCGTGCGAAGATGAATGCGATTGTATGGACAAATGGTATTTATTTATTTTACAATTGAAATTCGTTTGAATCCGAAATTCCTAATTCTTCTTTATTGTGGATTCATTTTTTTTTTCTTTAGGGACACTGTATTAGAATATCTGTATAAATCGAAATGCAAATGCGGACATCTGTACGATTATCACAATGAAAATACACTGACAGAAAAATATTTTTATCAACCAACGAAGCACGGTCCATACTGGATGGACTACGCTAAAATATATCAGATGGACCCCACGGAGGATTTTATAAAGGATACATTTCAACAAGCGATTATGTCTTCCCAATCTTCGGTATAAATTATTAAGTTATATCAATTTTTATTACCTTTTAATCCGCACCAACTATGCTCGGTAGATCGATAAAATTATAAAAACATCTATAGATTGGTTCAGTAGTTTTAGATTTTTGATATCGAATAAATTTTAAATTTCAAGTCTTTATCTGTATGCAAAATACAATATTAATATGGACTCAAGTATATCGATACATTTCAACGTACGTATCTACCCTATCCTATGTATAAATGTTGACGTTGTTTTCTCAGGGTGAACCCAAAGAACCCACTATATTACCATCCGGATTATCAGAAAAAGAATTACTGGCGGTAAGTAAAATTATTTAGTTATTGATATTTTAAGCTTTCAAATAATTATAAATAGCTTACCCGAAATTGCCACACGTGATAGACTCCAATATAATATCAAGTTAAATACATTGTTTAGTTCTTCTTACATTATTTTCTCCAGCTCCTTAATAAAAACAAATGAATACCTCGTTTCTTCGTCAATGTTTTCTTTTACCGCGAGAGACGTAATATTTGCATTTCAATTTTGCAGGCCTTTTTAGCCGAATTATCAGATACACCTCTCATTATCCCCCACTTACCACAAGCCAACTTATTAAATAATCTACAAGAGTGGGTCCGAAAACGAGTTAAGGGAAAAATGTCTCCAGCTTTACAAAGTAAGTTCTTAAAAGTTTGATGGCCTATAAGAATTATGTTTTAACATTAATTCTTTTTTATTTCTAAGTTCCTTATGGTTTTTTTGGTTACAGAGAGATTATTGCTTCAATCACAGCGAAGATGGCTCGATCTCAAACATATAGATTTCCGAGCCCGTGCCTACAGAATTCCATTTACATTGGAACAATTAAATAATATGAATTGGTCTCATCGACTTTTAATCCAAAAATTGGTACTGTCGTTTGCTTATTTTTAGTTAGCATAAGGCTAACATTATTTTAAATGAAACCACATTTTTAACGTCATTATTAATAACAGTATTTTTCACTTACCAATTTTGTTTCAGTTTAAAATATTATTAAATGATTTTGTAACAAGAAATCAAATAAAACAACTTGAACAAACTAGACTTTGGTGGTCCACTACAAAATCTGATGCTTATCCCAGCGAGGCATTTATGTAAGTACATAATAAACCTTATATTTTTTAAACTTTGATGAACTCTTTGTAAACAATGTTTTAATTTTTTTTTCAGAGATGTATTCTTTACGTACATGCCTGGACGTATGAAGGACATATTCCTCATAAATCCCTACAGCGTGGAAAATACAAAAACTCATGGCGCGAAAACATGTCCTCTTATATTTTAATTATTAATGTTATCTAATTATCAGTCGTGTACGTTTAAGTATCTAGTGTTAAAAGTATAGTTGACTAAGTTTGTGAAACGTGAATTTTAAAAATTTGTTTTTGAACCCTGTAGCTTTCCTGTAGCTGTTAATTTATTAAAATAATATCAAGATCGATAAATGTACGATTAATTAAAAAAAAATTACAACAAACTAGCACACTTTTATTTTTTTGTCCTTTAGATTTGAAGTGTTGTATCAAAATAAATAAATTATTTTAAAGCAGAGTTAAAAACAAAAAAAACCGTATTGACAACAAAGTTACCTTTGCCCATTACTTAAAAATACATGACACTGATGACTTTGACAGTTGACAATTTCTGTCAAAATATTTTTCGATCTCGAGCTGTAAGAAAATAACTGCTTATTGATTTTATACTGCAACAATGGCAGCAAAGCAAGCAATACAAGTCGGCACAAAAACTGTGAGGCCAGTCCTTTCACTCAACCATGGGGAAGCCAAAGCGAGAGTTTTAAACTTGTATAAAGCATGGTATCGTCAAATTCCTTACGTAGGTTTGTACCTTGTTATGTCATCAATTATTAAATAGTATTTATTTTCACATTAGCTTTTTCCCACGTCTTCGTCTGAGCAGATTTTAAAAAAGGTTGAACAATATCACATGAGTTACTGGAGACTGTGTTGTATATCTTTGCCAAATTTTAATAGAATGTGTTAAACTGTGGTGGAGGTAATACCTTGCAAATTCCTAAATCAAACCCTACAGATTTCCGGCATAATAGGTAACTTATGTATTCTTCCAGACTGATCTACATCTATACTAAATTTCATCCAGATCCATGATGTCATTCCAGAGATGCCTTCTTACATACATCCAAAGATTTTTAGTTCCTTTGTAGTAGCAATCTTATATTGGTTAAATGAAGTTTTATTTCTTAACATGTTCAGAAAAGTTCAGTACCCAAAACAATGAACAAATTTTATAGAAGCTATCTTTTCATATACAACTCAATTAATTCATCAAAATCTGAATATTTCAGTTAAAGAATTTGACATGCCAAAATCTGAAGATCAATGCCGTGCGAAGCTAAAAGAGTTGTTTTTGAACAATAAACATGTTACTGATGTCAGAGTCATTGACATGCTAGTAATCAAGGTAATATATCTAATTTTTATTTATTTCTAACTCTCGGTTTCCATTACCAAAAAATGTACAAAAATAACTGAAGTTCTTTGAATCAGAGAATGAGAATCCTCGGTTAACCTACAAAAATTATCTTGGTGGTTTTGTGATTCTGTTTCTTTTTAAAGATGCATTGTTTCTTATAATATTATTACGTTTTTTATGTATTTTGGGGGAATAGGATCACTCGGTTCTCAGGAACACATTAAGATAACAAGCTGTTTTTTTTTTTCAAATAATTAATCTTGTAACTAAGTCTGAATCTAATCTTTGGCTTTTATGTATATTTTATTTGATAAAATTCCAGGGACAAATGGAACTTAAAGAAACAGTAAACATGTGGAAACAAAAAGGACATATTATGGCCTATTTTAAACCGACGGAGGAACCAAAACCCAAAGATTTCCTTTCCAAGTTCTTTTCTAGTAATGAATAAATAAAAATCAACAATTGAATAGCTTAATCTGTACAATGATATAGTAATAAACCAAATGTTTTATGTTAACTTTGGAATATTTATTCAACAATATCATTATTTTGAAAGTTTTACCATTTTTATGTTGTTAGTTTCTTGTTTATTTATTAGATGACATGTGAGTAATAATTTTTATATTTTATATTTCATTTAATCCTTAAATACTAATGATAAAAATAAACAGTATTTAAAAATTCCGAAATATTCTGCTTTTTAAATTAAGAAAAGAGTTTTAATTTAAAATTTTCATTTTACATTTCAAACTGACAAACAAAAAAAAACAATCAAAACTTGACATTTAACGGCATCATATTTGCTTAATTTCAATTACTTGAATTTGATAAAGAAACAAGTATTTGTGTTTTATTTATATCCATTGTTCTAAATAAATATGTCGAAGGAAGCTGCAAAAACATGTTTGAAAGTCGGCAGACCGGTGATGTCAACAAACATGGCTGAAGCGCACACTCGTGTTATAGGCTTGTACAGGGCGTTTTATAGATACATTCCTTACATGTGTAGGTTTCTCTTTATAAGCTACTTCTATGTAATTACGAACTACATTTATAGTCCCTTCTGGTCTTTTTAAACATCTTTAGTAGTATGTAGTTATGATCTATACACAAGAGGTGACCAAGAATTAGTCTTACGCTTCTCATCCGTAGTATATTGCATAATTCCCTCTCCCTCTCTTTCCCTTTCAACCATATCATGCTTACCTCTAGGCGTAGACCTCCCCCAAAAATCGCCATTAATTAGATAACAAGTCATGAGTAACTCAACAAAAAATAAAGATCTACAGATCAGCTCACAGATATATGTGAAGCAGATCAGTGAATAGGCATACAGATCAACTCAATTTGTACCTGCCACTTCATCAGAGTCACGAGTTAGCTCACGGCTCGTCGGCTCACATAGTTATAGTAAATCGCGATGAGCTGTGAGCTATGAGTTTAGATATCGAACTGCAGCTCAACAGTTTTAGTTTATGTGAGCTGACCTTTTGAAACGATTCATAGCTGATTGGCACATTATTATGGATTAAAGTGTACTAAAGGGGCGAAACATTAGCACTGAAGTTTTAGATAAGTGTCTTAAGTGTCCATATGTGACTTGAACCACCAACTATTCTACTTCATATCATTACAACATTGTTGTCATAGTAGGTAGTCCGATTTAATCAATCGAAATCGTAGTATTTGATATAATTAAACGTTGTTTAGTAGAAATTATTTTACAGTAAAATATTTCGACATTCCCAAGAACCATGAGGACTGTCGCAAAAAATTACGAGAATATTTCTATCGGAACAAATACGTGACTGATGTGCGCGTTGTTGATATTTTAGTCATCAAGGTATGGTTGTTCAATTTGTAAGCCAATACAAATTATTTAAGGTGGCGAAAATTGGCACTACAGCAATATTAAGGAAGAGATTCCCATTTCTTGTTGAAATTTTACATTTTATGAGACCACAAAGAATCTTACAGGGCCCTCGGTCTCAAGACCAATTTAAGAATTGTGCCGATTGCTAATTATTTTAGTGTGCCATTTTCATTTTGCTTTTATAAACATTTATAAGCATATAGGTCGCTAGCAATTTATATTTCAGGGCTATATAGAGTTGAAAGAGGTAACCCATCAGTGGCAACAAAAAGGTTACGTGATGTCTCATTGGAATCCCTCAGCGGAGCGAGCACCGGTCACTTTCGTGGAAAAGTTTTTGGCGGGAGTTGATTAACACAAATTAAACAATGAATTCATGATTTTATTGATCACGTTCAAGCACATCACAAGCCTTTTAAAGACTATTTTTTTTAATAAAAAAAGTCCTGATTTTTTCGTACTTGCCAATGTTTATTATAACATTAAAAAATCTTATAATTTATTCATTTCTCAATTTAGTTCAAAATAAAGAAAATTACTCAATAAGTACAAAAATATTTTTTTTTGTGAAAATTAATGTTTTTTTTTCTATTTGAGTCTTCGAATATAACCAAAGGATCGTAACAAGCAATGTAATTATGTACAACATTTTGATATAAATTATCTTTCACAACCATAAAATTACAATAATGTTTTATGATGGCATAGGTAGGTATGAACCTATATACAATTTATATAAAATGTAGGTAACACGTTAACCGCTACTCCTGTCACCAGTGACCGGATCTCTGCATGCATTTAAGCGCCGCGCAGGGCTCCTGTGACCTCATCAAGTTTTTTTATAATAACTGCGGAATCCAGCTACTGATTGAAAAAGATTTTTAGTGTTTTTTTTTTTCTATTTATACTATGGCGTTTAACGTGTTAACGATATTATTCTAAATAAAACATGCAATTTTATTTATATTTTGCAAAATAATTGCAATTACAAATTGCATCGTAGATAAATAATCTTTGGTATAAATATTGTCCTGTCATTTCTTAGGCCGATGGATGTTAGTGATAATAAAAAATAAAACATTGTAAAAAGTTTTGTTATTTGCGATATAAAAATGTACTTAATACAGTACAGAAAAATATATTTTAATGTTTCTATCAACGGATATTGTCAATAAAAACAATAAAATTTATTTTTTTATATATTTGCAAATCTTCGAAAGTCATACCTACCTAAATATGAAGAAAATATCAGCAGATAGCGCCCTAACCTAGATTTGAATTGATTTGAATACGACAAAATTGTATCAGAGACAAGAAAAAAAATATTGCTAATAATAAAATTGTGTCTTAAGTAATCCGGTTCAGGAGCGCCATCTAGAAGGAAAAAATCTCAATAATTTAATGGGCAACAAAACTAGTTATTCCTACATTAAAAGCCATTATAAATTGCAAATAAAGAAGATTCGTAGGCACTTTAGGGCCTTTTAAAAATAAGTACGTGTTCACAAACTTTATAAAAACTACAAACAGACATTATCTTAGACAATTTCTATGGAAGAGCTTCGTTTATACTGTCTTTTATAATAACCGTATAAAATGTGCAATTCCACAAATATCCATCGCATCCAACATGATAACATTATTGCTATCAAACCAATTTCATATTATATTAAATCTAATGAGGTCTTTCTTGCTCAATGAGGTCACTATCTATAACAGCATCTTCACGAACTCTGAAATTAAAAAAAATATATAAAACAAAATTTCCAACATGAATAAAGAACTCGATAAATTGAATATTTCTTTGGAGAACAGCGGGGTTAGACAAAATGCATTCGCTACCAAGCGATTCCATAACGAACTTCAAAAATGTATAGAACTGACAATAACTTTCGTTAAGTCACGTGATTGTCGCGCGTCAGTACCAAAGATTCTTGTAATACGATATAGAAACGTTTCAAAGGAAAATGCACTTTGTCTAACCCCTCAGGTCATTCCTGTTATAGCTCTTATCACGAAATAAACAACCTCAAAACTGACTAAGCGTAGAACTATTTCACGCCCAAATTCAGTTCAACAGCCAGACTGGTACAAAAATTACGATTTAATTCTTGTAATCGTCAGTAGAATGGTATATTCGTTGTGTTGTGTACCTTCGTAGTCGATGCGTCCATCATGGTCGATGTCTCCGAGCGCGAGCACCTGGTTGAGCTGCGCGTCGGTGACTGGCTCGCCGATCATCTCCAGCGCGGCGCGCAGCTCATCGCGCGTTATATACCCGTTGTCGTCGCGGTCGAACACCCTGCAACATTCATACAACATACAATTACATATATACTGCTTAAAAAGGCTTTAAAACAACTGTGAGATGCATAGCTTAATACTGTGGTATTATCCCAACGATCAACTGAAAAATAACAAGATAAATTTTACTAAAATAGTTTAATTCTACTTTTTGTTTTTACTGTACTATACTAGAATATTTCCATTTTAAAACAATATTGTACGGACTTGAATGCGGCAAGCAGATCCCTGGTGATTTCCTCCTCGGAGTCGCCACCGCTGACGGTCACGTCGACCCCCTGAAGCGCCTGGATCTTCGTCACCCATTGCATAAACTCGTTCTCGTCTATTAGACCATTGCCTGCAAAACACATGTAACATACTAAGTAATAAATTCAATAAGCTCCCAATCCTTGACCCAAGAAGAGAAGGAAACTACTACGAATTTTTGAGACTTGGAGAGAGAGAGAGAGAGAGAGAGACACATCATTTCTCATGGTTTCTCTACTTTATCCTATCACTAATGTGGACTAGTGTTTGTAGTAGTGTTGAAACATTTGTTGACAACAATGTAAATTAACCCTTATCTTCATTTTGTATAGTATACCATACATACAACTCTACAAAAATATGCAATCACTATAAAATACTTTTAACTTAGTTTTATTAAACTTATTTTTGCTTTTGCGTATTTTTTGCTTTTCTTAAAAAAAAAAATCTTGCCACAATAAGGGTTAAAAATGTTTAGTCTAAGTTCAGTTCCGAGTACGTTATTAACCTATTATAATCAACTCGCCAAACTAATTTTGTTTCTTGGTCGTGATTCTTTAATGCGCACTACGTCGTTATCTAGCACTACGACCTTTGCCATATAGCTCCGGCCCTACCCTATATTTGTAGGCAACTTTCGAACAATCAAAAGGGGTGATGTCATGGAATCTTAATTTACATGGACGTAAAATGTCATTACATGACGTCAGAGTAAAGTCATCTTTAATGACCTTAAAATAAATCGACGAAAACGATTATCGTAAAATATGTATCTTTCTAATTACGTAGACAATTAGTAAACTCACATTAGTGTAGAGAAATAAGAATAAATTACTTTTACTAAATTACTTTTCACTTTAAAATCAAATTAAGAAAAATATTTATCTTGGTCCCGTTGTGTCGTAGACATCTACGCCGTAGACACCACACAAATACGTAGAGGTAAACGCAATACCGCATTGATTGAAAATACAGTTACATGAATTTACTTAATACGAAGATTAAGTTTTATAGTTCCCTTAGTGTGGATTTTAAATAATATCCCTTAATGACTAATTATTGACTCTCAGTACGGCAGTTATGTTATAGAT